CACACTTTGTATAGATGTATATATATGTATATTAACAATACCTTTACAGAAAGTGATATGGGAAAGACCTGTTCTTCCCAAAAATTTGCTTGTGTCCTGTAAACTAAGTATACCCATGACAGTATGGTATAGTAGTTAATGTGTCAAGAGAGTATACAATGCACTTACACAACTCATGTATGAGTCCTGCTGCAATTGCTGATGAGAACTATGCGAGGTAGAAACTGCAGTTCATCAAGAAGGAGAATACCTTATGGGAAGTAAGTCCATTTGGAATCGAGATGTCTATTCATATAATTGGGGGAAAACTCATTCCCCATTTCTTCATAACCTGAAAAATAATATGTTGAATACATCTTATATATATATATATATATATATATATATATGTTTAAAGTATTAGTGTTTATTCACACAATATATTTGTGACCGGTTATCCATAACGACGGATTGTGCTTTCTTGCGTTAAATGCGTTAGCTGACCTCGTTTTTTGAGAAAGCGTTTGATCATTAATTTCACAACTCATCTATCAAATATGCCCAAGAGATTAAGAACACTCAACCTGATTCTAAGCCTAATTCGAGTCGGTCGGTTGATCTTGCAATTTTGACGTATGAATTTGTGATTCATCGCACTTTTGTTGTACGCACGCACTACTCAGCAGTCGTTTGAAGCGTGAAAGTCCTAACCAGATTCGGGGATAATCACGTCTCCTTCTCCAGCTTTGTGGTACTTCTTTCCTTCTCTCTCTCTCTCTCTAAGCCTATCCTATAGCCACAAGTAATTTCCGCTCAATTTAACTTAATTCGGCCGGTTTCTTCAGAGCTTTGTTAGCTTTGATGCTTTCTATAGACTCACTAATCTTATGTTTACTCATGTAATCTACATATTCTGCCAAAAGTTCGGCGCTAGATTGGTCTATCTGGAATCCTATATTAGCCCCGTGTACGGCTAGTTATGCCATTTTGATCCAAAAAACCTATAAGTTTATTCTATGATCAGAAAGCACGTTGAGGGGACTTTCATTTCAATAAAAGTGCATGAAGCCCAGTTTCTCTTCGTATCTACAAGAAACAGGTGCTACTACAGGAACACAAGATATTATAAGAGAGGGAGTCCGAAAATTCCATAAATAAGGCATTACATAGTAAAATCTTATGTTTTTATTATGAATGGCAGCACTAAGACTGTAGTTGAGTCGTCCATCCATTTAGCTTGCCAAAAATAGGCAATTCAATACTTCTCATTCGCTGATATCTCGAAATATTTCTCAATTATTTCTGAAGACACTTGTTCTTAATTAAAAGTTTATTTAATCATATCTTCTTCTAATTCAGGTGTTTAACAACTGCAAGACCTAGGCTCCTTATTATCATGAGTTCAATATTTTCCTTCCTAAATACTTAAAGTAGCCAAAATGAAATTTTATGAATAATAAGGTATACACCAATCAAGCCAAATTTTATGCTCAATACTTTTGCTATTAAGCTCGTGTTAACGCAGTAAATAGACGTTCTAGCTGTGCATTTAAGAAGAAAGAACTGAAATTTCATGCCGTATCTGCCAATTATACAAGCATCACAATTATGTGGTTTGACCTCTTTGTCACAACTTCGTCTTGTTTTCAGGGAGACTTAGTAGAACGCACCTAGTCCGAAGTCGTCTTCCATAGTAGTTGTCATGATTCACAGCATCTGACAGTGGACTTGGTACATTCTCAAACGTTACGCCGGCATCGTAGTCGGCATTATCAATGAGCTTCTTCATTCTCCGCACTAAGCTACGAACTCGTCAAAGAGACAAGTCAAGTCAATCCCATGACAAACGTTCTGCCGAAAACGATTACAGTATCTCCTCTCTTTCTGTCCTGGCCTATCTATCTACTCTTTACCTCCTTATCCAACTAATCACAACTTCTGACTTGTGTACATTCCAATCGTTAAAATGTGTGTCCTTTTGGGGCAAATTTAGTGTGGCCTCATCACACTTGCTATTCACCCCGACCCCCTCTCTTTCAATCGGCTGATCCAAATCGGGACTCCAATCCGGATCCTCCCATTGTCTCGTAGATCCGTTCCTTCTCTTCCTCATTGCGATCCCTTTTTCTCCGGTTAGCGGCAGATCCTTGATCCAAGCGTCCTCTTTTTACTGGTCTCGCTCTATTCTTGTTTTTCCCGAGTTTGCTTAGGCCGTAGGCATGACAACTACTATGGCAGAGGATTTCCATCTAGGTGCGTTTTATGAAGTCCCCCTGACAACAAGACCAATTTGCGACAACGGGTCAACCCATTTTTATAAATCGAAAGTAGACTTCGATCACAATTACATTTTTATACTGAACTGTTGAGTTTTTTTAAATTAAAACATGCCAGATATTTGTGATATGCCCATTTGTAACGAAGCGTTCTTAAAAGAATGGCTTACTAGCAACAAATATAACTACTATTCCGGTAACTGAATAAAGAAAGCTAGGAGCAAATGATCATTGCTTATCCTCATACGGCTCATCTGTGAGTGAAGAGCATACAAAAAAGTTTCATTCACTTCTCTGAGAGTTAATTTTAGATGCACAGCCTGGTATTCTTGTTAATAGAGTGACCTCTTCTTTGTATCGAAGATAAAAATCTGAGCGTAATTATTGTCTCTGAAGCTATTGGAATCCTCATTAATTTTGTCATATGTTGGCTTTACTAGTATGACATTAATAATTCCCTTTCAGGTATTTACAATGGCTTGATATATACTCCCAGTTTGCCATATCGAGCTTACGAAAGAAAACCACACCTCAAAAATGTCATAGGTTCGACTCC